ATAAAGATGTTGGGTTACTCCTCTTAATAATGTTGACATTTTGAGATGGAACTCCAATTCTTAACATGGTATCAGAGCCCATTATGCTCCCACGAACGATTCTATCTCATTAAGACTCTAAAATGAACACGTTGATTTCAAAATTGATATGCTCAAATGAAGCACCATCTTGCTGGTGCGTGTTAAGGGATATATATCTCACATTGATAAATGATGTTGAAATAAACCAATTAATAAAGATTTTGGGCTATTCCTCTTAATAAAGTTGACATTTTAAGATGAAATTCAAATTCTCAACGTGGTATCAAAGCCCATTATGCTCCAACGAGAAATTCGATCCCATTAAGACTCTAAAATGAGCACGTGGATTTCAAAATTGGTCTGCTCAAATGAGCCACCATCTTGTGGGGACGTGTTAAGGGATATATATCCCACATCGATAAATGATGTTGACACAGACCAGTTAATAAAGATTTTGGGCTACTCCTCTTAATAAGGTTGACCTTTTAAGATGGAACCTCAATTCTTAACAAGAACAAGGATTAATGTATAATGATGTTGTCAAATTTTTCGATACGATAGAGGGCACCATGGTAAGACATGTGCGGTCATCACCATGCTTGCTTCGATCATCAATGAACGTAACTTAGCAATTGACTGATTATGAAACATGAACGAGTGACCATCTTACTATTCATCACTCGGTTGACCTTTTAAATGAATCTTTAGTTACAATTTAATTTGTTTATAGAAAATAGAGATAGACAATAAGAGAGAGAGAGGGGGGGAAAATAGAAAAAAGAAATAAATAAAATCGGTAGAAAAATAAAATTTTAATCATGGTTAAAAAAAAGAGAGAAATATTGAAAGAAAATGGCCCTTTGAATTGCCAAAAATATTTTGAATTTTTCCCCCATGTACAAAAACATTTCCACAGAAATGGGTCAGAATACTCACAATGAAGTGGGCCCCACCGTGGTTTTAAAAAAAAATCCGCGGGACCCACACGTGTAAGTATTCTGGCCCATTTCTATTGGTTTTGCTTTTGTACGTGAAGCAAAACTAGAATATTTTTGTCATAAAAATAGTTTTTAGTCCACACAAAATTCACACAATGTTAAATACAGTCTTCTAGTAAAAGTAGTCCATTGCTCGACTGCATAATTATTTATAGAGTTAGGTGAACTATGCCCCTACGTCAGCCCCATTTTCCTATAATCGATTTTGTAGAAAGTTTTATTTGGATAACGTGTGATTAAAAAAGAGAAAAATATTTTAAATTAGTTTATCGGGAAAATATATGATTAAAAATGAGTTTCTGTAAAAATAAATGTTAAAAGAATGGGGCATTATATATATGATATATCTTCTTCTTCTCCACTTTCGTTTACGTACAAAACCTCAAATTAAGCATATTGTCGTGTAGAGACTAGAGAGGTGCCAATGATTTCTTTGAAATGAGTAATTTTGAGTCATAGAAAATTAATAAATAAAGAATAAATCTTGAAAAAAAAATGTACTTTTTTTCCTTTTTTTTAAAGAGAGAGATGCCTATGGCCATTGAAAGTGCATTTGACAATGTGACGATGATTTCACTGTCATATAAACTGACTGTTATAGACTTAAGATTCTCCATCTTAAAGTTGTATTTATTGTTGATTGGGGTTTTAAGAACCAAACCCATGTCTAACAAATATTATTACACTTGATACGAGCTTATAAGAATCAATTTGTCTAAGTGCTCGTTTGATAAAGATTAAAATTGAAAATATAGCCGTCATTGAGTCTCATTCGTCTAATAAAAGTCAACAATAACAGTTAATTTTTCAATTTTAATCTAATTTTAATTTATACCGAACACGCTCTAAGAAATTGTAGTTAGATATCATATCATTAAAACGTTTCAAACAAAATCGATTTAATCTAACATATCTAACGTGTTATTTTTAATTAATATTCAACAAGAACATATGCAAAATGGAGTGAGTCACCTTGTCTCTTAGCCAGTGAAACATGGTGCAGGCATTGGTTGAATTTAGAAGCATTTTGTCGGGACAAAATTACTAAAAATAATAAGCCCCTGTTTGTCTACCATTAGTCCAAAAAATTGTTTGCTACAGTAAGATTTTCCACCACACATTCACCCAATAAAATATTCTACATACAAACCAATAAAGTTACTTTAATTTTCAACCACACATTCTCCAAAAAATACTATTCATTACACTAATTTTCTCCCAATAATGGGAGACAAACAAGCTCTAAATATCTTTTGGTTTATGTAGCCCCTATTTGGTAGAAAATTTTCCACCACACATTCACCCAATAAAATATTCTACATACAAACCAATAAAGTTACTTTAATTTTCAACCACACATTCTCCAAAAAATACTATTCATTACACTAATTTTCTCCCAATAATGGGAGACAAACAAGCTCCAACTCTATTATAGTCTCGACTGCGAAAAGGGGTACATCCACATTTTCTTCAGATGTTGACATTTTGGCATTAAAATTCACGAATTAAGAGAAATTTATGGGAAATTTTGACAAAATTATACATAATAATCATATGAGAACATGGCATTTGGACACAATTCTCCTCTCTTTGATTCTCTTTCTTTTGTGTAAATAATCAACCACATATTTGGCACATTAAACCCATATTTGGTATCCTTTAATTTAATTTATTTTTCATATTCATTTTCAACTATATATTCACACAAAAAAATATTTTACACATAAATCCAAATTGAGAAATGCTACAGGTACACGAACGTTTACACGCTCGTGTACTCGACACCATGCCCCCCCTCACAAATTTGGGGGGAGGGGGGGCATTATTTTATTCACCTCGGGCCCCCCTCATTGTGAGGGGGGCGGTGGGTTCATGAACTTGGGTGTGTAAACGTTCGGGTACATTTAGCAAAATTCATCCAAATTTTTTTCCACTTTTGAACCGCACGTTCTTCAAAAAAAATACAATTGAAAATTGAAATCGTAGTTTTTTTTTTTTTCAAATGAAAGACCAGCAAACATGGACTAGACATAATGTGACTACATGATATTTACTCAGAGTGTGCTTGTGACATATTCTTTTGAAAAAATGTATTATTGAATAGTAGATTGATAGAGAATGTGTGTTTAAAAATGAAGGAAAAGTTATTGATGTGATGAAAAATATTATTTTATTGAAAAATATGTAGTTGAAAATGAATAAAAAAATGAGAATGAAAAAAATAATGTGTACCAAACAGGGCCTCAATCTTATGCAGTACGTTGTTACAAACTGGCCTTAACTATTCCTAAAAATACAACACGAAAAAGTAGGTAATGAAGATTTAGTCAATATTTGATAGAAATTTTTTTGGGGATAAATTTTATAAAAAATGATTACTTTAAAAAACTGTGTGATTAGAAAGTTAAGGAAAGTTACGGGTCCACTAACCCTAAGGGTTTGTTTGGGAGTTTTTTTTTTTTTTTTTCGATTTTAACCATTTTTGAGTTGAATTATTTAGGAAATGTTGGAAAAATCGGTGTTTGTTACTTTTTTTTTTAAACAATAGTTTTAGGTAGTATAAAAGCTATCCATAACCAGTATAGTGTGATTTTGACCGTCTTTCTCAATTCACCAAATCAATGAATTTTGACAATTTCTCAAATTCTCTCATAAGTTTATCCTTTATAAAACAATTATTTTCAATTCACGTTTTTTTTTTCAAAACTAACCTGTAATTAAACATATATTGAAATAAAATTTATTTATAAGCAAACAAATTTAATTTATAACTAGAATATATTAAATAAAAATAATTTTTAAGTAAAAATACTCTTTTATATAAAAATTGCTTAAAGTAAAAAATAGCAATAGCAAGAGAAAAATTCACTTATAAAATATAAAAAGTTACTTATAAAGTAAAAAAATCACCCAAGTATAAAAAAAATATTTTAAAATACAAAATTAACTTATAAATAAAAAATACTTACAACTTAAAATTTTAATTATAAGTTAATATTTAATAAATTTAAAATTTTACTATGGAGCATATATATAATTTTATATTTTTAAAAAACTTTCAGAATCGTATAAACCCCAAACGTGACTTAGAAAAAAGATATTAAAAAGATCCCAAAATCAAATTAATCATACCAAAAATTGAACTTTAAAAAAGTCATAACCAATAATCCAAAACTCTCAAGCTGGCCTGAAGAAGTGCCAATTCATAAACAATAAAGTTATAAAGATGTGGTCAGTACATTAAACTAAGTAGAGAAAAAGTAATCGAAACAATTATGCTAGTGCACCAAACATGATTTTGGAGACGATCCGAAAGTAAAATTAACCAAATTTTAGCCTCCGTCGAGCCCCGTTTTGGTAAGAAAATATATTTTGAAATAATGATTTTTAGAGAATGTGTGGTTAAAAATTTTTTTTTTCGATTTACGTGTAAAATTATTTTATGAAAGAATGTGCGCTTGAAAATTAATTTTTAAAAATGAACTTTTAAAAAAATGAGGGCCAAACATCAATCTTGATACAAGTACATTATTTTTGACATCAAGTTTGACATTGTGTCACATGTTGCAGTACGATTGGCCAGTTTGAAAATACAACACACTTACCCGCCACTCCACTTTTGAATTTGTAAAGGAGTGTCAAACTTCATGTACACAAGAAGTGTACAAGGATCATAATTCATTTACCATTCACTGTAGGAGTTTACTGGGTCGAGACAAGCTTGGGCGGTGTAACCATGTGCAAACAGCTTTTTGTCATCATTTCATTTGGAAAATAATGTAAGAATATAAAGGACAGACTGTTCACCATGAGCACAGAGGCTGGACATGCAATTGTCCAAAAAGCAAAAACTACACTCTATTGGGGCATCGATGTGATTAAACCAAAATATGTGGCCATTTTCAAAAATTGACATGCATAAAACCCCCCTTTGAAATCCCATTTCAAATCGAACTCCAAATTCAAAAACCCATATCCAAAATGCAGAGGGATTCAAGAATTGGGGGTGTCACTATATTGTCGGTGCTATTGTGTGTTGCCACGTGGCACATTGCCTTTGGCTTCATAGATGGTATGCTCCTTCTTCTTGGCTATGATTTTTGCTTCTAGTTTTAGCATTTATTAGCCTCGTGTTCTTCCCATTTTAAGCGTTTTCCATTTGTTGTTTAGATGTCTTGATAATATGTTAACTATATTTCTTTAGTGTATGAAATTTTCTTGGAATAAGCAATAGGGCCTTGTTTAAGTGTGTTTGGAGCTTAATCGCAGTGTACACTTATCCATTGCGGATGGACCTAATATTTGGAGGATTCTAGGTGCCGGTTTTGAGGGTACGAGAAAACTCTCTACACTTTTTATAGTCAAAGCGCGCAAGTGAGCATAGCTTCCACTTTGTGGGTTAACCACTGTCATTCTGTCAATGTAGGGATTATTGATGTTATAAGAAGGGTTTAAAGGCTTAATTACAGACACTAGATTCAACTTTTACTGGTGTTTGATGGATATTATTGGGGAAAGAATGTATTTTAAATAGTGATACGATGAGAAATATGTTGTTAAAAAATAAGGAAAGATTATTGCTGTGATGAAAAATATTATTTTATTGAAAAACGTGTGGTTGAAAATGAGTTTTGATAGAACACGTGTTCTGGTATAACTAGGTAAGAGGGAGTAGAAATCTTGTTTAACGTTGTGGTGATGAATAATGATACTTTGTCAGAAAGTAGGTGACATAATAGTTGTTGATAAGATGTGATTGAACTATATTTTAAACAGTCTAATAATAAATTGTCACGTGACATTATGTCAATGATTATGTCAACCAGCATGATTGTGTTTTGATTGGTCATAAGGTTAAAGGGCTTGTGGAATTTACTTTGTATACGTTGAAGACTAAATTTAATTATAAACATGTCCCTTTTTTAATAGTTTTAGCTTTGAAATTTACATTGTATATGTTGTCGGAAGTTAAACAAAATAGTTATGATTAAGCCAATCTGCAGCTGGTTCTTTTTATTTTTTTTGGCTTTAATATGTTGTATTACTTATTTTTGAAGGTTTCTTGATTGATCATAGAGTACTTTCAAATGAAGATTCTCAATTTTCACGTTCTAAATGCAGGACCATTAGAAAATGGCAATTTCGAGCAGGCTCCGAAATCCTCAGACATGAAAGGCACAGTTGTCCTTAAACCCCACGCCATACCAAAATGGGAGATTTCTGGTTTTGTCGAATACATAAAAGCGGGGCAAAAACAGGGCGACATGTTACTAGTTGTTCCGGAGGGATATGCTGCTATTAGGCTTGGAAATGAGGCATCAATCAAGCAACGGTTAAACGTGACTAAGGGAATGTACTATTCGTTAACATTTAGCGCTGCCAGAACCTGTGCTCAAGAGGAGATTCTTAATGTATCTGTGGCACCCGATTCTGGGGTGCTACCGATTCAAACAGTGTATAGTAGCAACGGTTGGGACTCGTATGCATGGGCATTTCGAGCAATCTATAGCGTGGTCGAGATCCTGCTTCATAATCCAGGAGTAGTAGAAGATCCCGCATGTGGTCCACTAATCGATTCCATTGCCATTCGAGCTTTATACCCTCCTAAAGCTACTAATCGTAAGTTTCATCGTAGCCCTCTGTTTGATTCCATGCCTTTTGCCTGACTTTTGATGAACAAAATGTCAAAAAGGGCTTTTTATGCTGAGGTAATGTATTCTATGATGGAAATCCTAAATCGTTGCATTATGTCCTCGTTGAGCAGAGAACCTGATGAAAAACGGAGACTTCGAAGAAGGTGCTTATATATTTCCCAACACGAGTTGGGGAGTCCTTATCCCACCTAACATTGAGGACGATCACTCTCCATTGCCAGCCTGGATGGTCGAATCCCTCAAAGCTGTGAAATATATCGATTCTAATCATTTCTCAGTGCCACATGGCAGGCGTGCCGTTGAACTTGTTGGAGGAAAGGAAAGTGCCATTGCACAAGTAGTAAGAACCATCGTAGGCAAAACATACCAACTCACATTTGCCATGGGTGATGCTAGCAATTTTTGCGAGGGATCAATGATAGTCGAGGCATTTGCTGGAGGACGGGACACTGTCAAGGTTCCTTATGAATCCAAGGGCACGGGTGGCTATAAACGTGCTGTGCTGAGGTTCGTGGCGGTTTCTACTAGGACACGAATCATGTTCCTTAGCACGTACTACCATATGAGGAGCGATGACTTAGCTTCACTCTGTGGCCCAGTGGTCGACGATGTGAAGCTGTTGAGTGTTCGTAATCCCAGACGATTCGTCTAACGCGACAGGATTAAAACATTTTGTTGTACTATGAACACTATTGTTGTAGGGATTTTAAGTAACAAGACTTCATACCAATTCAGCTCGAATAAGTATATAGCTGGTGGTTTTTAACGCTGGTCCCTTCTGTGTCTCTGCAAGTGTGACTGAGGGCTTTTACTGCCAATTAAAAGGCAGGTCATGATGCTGAAGCCAATTAATATTCACAAAACTATTGAATTTACAAATAAACACTCACCAACTTTTAATAAGTGGAAATTACCCCTACTTTTCAAAATTCAATTTCAAAAATCAGATTTTAAGTTTTAATGTTAAAAAATCAGATATTTTAGATATAGATACAGATTTTTTATATTTAATTGAATATTAATAATAACGTTATAAAAATTGATTTATACACAACCCAAAATTAATTTTCAAACCCTAAATTACATTCTCTCTCTCTCACGTCTCTCACCTCCCTCACTTCTCTCTCTCTCTCTCTCTCTCACACCGGCGGGCGGCGACTGCTTCTCTCCAGCGACGACGACCGGAGCTACCACGTGCAGCGACGACGACGGAGAGGGTTTATTAAAGGGTGATCTGAGTCTCCGCCCCGACGAGCAGAGATCCTCTTTGGGCGACTGCATCTCTCCTCCGACTGTATCTCTCCTCCGACAATGATCTGAGTCGCCGCCCCTCCAACTAGTGCTCTTACCTTAACCTCAAGTCCAACATCTGGCTTTCGGACTCCACTCCTCCTCAGATCACAGTCGCGATTATTTACCTGATTTGTGTTATTTGTGTGTGAGGCAAATTTCGAGGTAATTGAGCAGGAGTTGGATCAATTAAATGTCTACCCACTGTCGTTTGTGTGTGAATTTCATTTCCCCCATGTGAATTTGTGATGGTTTTTTTGGTGTTGTTGGTGAGGTGGCTTTTTGACTGTGGAGGTGGGACGGCTTCGGTGGTGGTTTTTGGTGTTTGGTGTTTTGTTGGTGGTGGTTTGTGTTATGGCAGCGGCGGTGAGATGTTGGTGCTGTTGGTTCTGGTGACAACAGCGATGCGGTGTTGGATGCAGTGGTGGCTGTAGGTTTGGTGCTTGTGGGGGCAGTGATGTTTGGTGGTGATGGTTTTTGGTGGTGGTGGTGTTGGCGGCGGCGGCGTGACTCACAATTAATTAAGTTGTGATTGAAAAATTAATCTGTGATCGAGAAATAAGTTGTGACCAATAATTTGATAATACGTGACTAATGAAATAAACCGTGACATACAAAATTTTTTATTTGTGACCTCTAAATAATTTGTGACCTACAAAATTTTTGATCTGTGACCGATAAACAAATTGTGACTTGAGTTGTGACCTGAGCTGTGACCTGTGACCTGAGTTGTGACCTGGGCTGTGACTTGTGAATTGAACTGTGACCTGGGCTGTGACTTGTAAATTGAACTGTGACCTGAGTTGTGAGTTGTGACCTGGACTGTGACTTGTGACCTGAGTCGTCGGAATCGGAGCAGTCGCCGGAACGATCACCGGAGCATTCGCCGGAACAATCGCCGGAGTAGTCGCCGGAATATTTCCCGGAGCAGTCGCCGGAGTATCGCCGGAGAGGTGGGGGTGGTGGAGGTAGGGGTGGGTTAATTGTAAATTGAACTGTGACCTGAGTTGTGACCTGGATTGTGACTTGTGACCCTGACTGTGACCGTATAAAAAAATTCATGTCACCGGAATAGTTACCGGAATCGGAGTGTCGTCGGAACAGTCGCCGAAACAGCCCTACTGCTCTAAATTTGGGTCAAACGGGCCCATAGATGAAGAAATAAGTTTGATGCAGAGTACTCGTGGTGCTAGTGTGTGACAATGATACTATGCCCTGTTTGTCACACGTTCTTTCAAAATATATTTTTTCAAAATTCATTTTCAATCACACATTCCTCAATAAAATAATATTTTACATCACATTAATAATTTTTCATTACTTTTTAATCACATATTTTTCATCATATCACTATTTAAAATACATTTTTTTCTCAATAATATCCATCAAATACCCCTAAACAAGGTTTTAACTTTTTTTTAAATACTATTTAGTACATCAATATTGTAAGGCCTCGTTTTCGATTTTAATCAAAGTCAAACAATTAATATTAACCACATTTTTTATAAATCACACATTTCAAAAACTTCTATTATGTATAAATAGATGGGAAAAAAATCATAAATCAGCTGTATAATTTACACCGATTCACAAATCAGGTTTATAGTTTGAGATTAGTTTTAGGGAAGAATTCACAAACCAGGGTTTAAGTTTCACCCATTCAAAAATCAGGTATTAAGTTTAAAAAATGCAAAACTCAGGTATTTAGTTAATTAATTAAAAATATTTATTAATTAGGTCACAATTATACAATTAATGATCACATATACATAATTACATATCACAGCTTATATACTAGTTACATATTATCAAATTAATTGATCACAAATCATTTCGAGGTCACAAGTAAAAAAATTACAGGTCACAGATTATGAATCGGTTACAGATTTTTAAATTTGTTGGTCACAACACCACGAACGCACCCACAACACCTTCCACGGCACCACCACTGCACCACCGTCGCCTGCCAAAATTCACGCCCTCTCCCAAAACTACCACACGGTCCACACCACAGCCACCACCCCACGCCACCACCTCTACCTGCACCACCATCCTAAACCACCTTACAATCTGTAACAAAAACACCACCATTACCATTGCTTCTAGCACCACCACAACCTCTCGACAGTAACATCACCGCCATGACCACCGGACTGTACAAAATCGCCACCACACCACAGCAAAGTAAAACCACCATAAAACACCGACATGATCACCACAAAATCACCTCAAAAGCTACTACAAAGCCACCACTAATCGCCACAAACCATGACAAAATAATATAAAATCGCTGTCGATTTGCCACTGTAGTGACGAACTGAGTGTCGCGGCTAAGATCAGGGGCTCTTAGAGCCACTATTTCCAGCTGAAGCGAGACGACGGATAAGAGAAACGGTGAAGAGAGGGGAAAATGATGAAAAAGAAAGGGGAAATAGATCTAGGGTTTGGCCTTCCTTGCCCCGACGCCGTCGCCATCCTCGCCGTGAGATAGCCGGCGGTCAAGAGAGAGGCGAGAGAGAGAGAGAGAGAGAGAGAGAGAGAGAGAGAGAAGAATTGAAATTATTAGGGTTTGTAATTAAATTGGTGGATGGTGTTTAATTTATAAATACCTGATTTTTGAATAATGAAACTTGATCTCTGATTTTTGAATTGTGATCTTTAAACACATTGTATTATGTAATTTTCTCTTAAATAGATACAGCACTGGCAGGCTTTCTTGGAAGTACTCGTTTCTTGATTTAAATTTGGGCCAAAATGATGGCCCAATATGCTTGTTCTAGAACATTTCAAATTCAAAATCAAAGGTCACGTGACCCCGCTCCTGATATTGATCCAACGGTTCAGATAATCGCGTCAGCTTAAAGCTAAAGCTCAACTCAAAATTTTTCAAATTATACACACATTGATTCACACGTCAAAACACGTTTCGTTTTACATAAATCTAACCTCTCTCTCCCCAGCCTCCATCCGTTTTCTCTCTCAAAACGGCAGTAACAATCGAATGGTAAGGCCATTTTGTTCCTGATTTGATTTATGTTTTTAGGTATTCTGTTAATTTGTCGTCGCTTTGGTGAGATTTAGTTTCTTCTTTTTTGTTCGGGTTTTTAGGCATTGCCGAATCAGCAAACAGTGGATTACCCAAGCTTCAAGCTTGTAATTGTCGGCGATGGTGGCACTGGTAATTTTTCTTTTATACATTGTTTCTTCCTCTTAGTTTAATTTAAATTATTTTGTACTTTGGTATGCCTTTTTTATGGTTTAAGCTTTTGTTGTACTCTTTATTTTGAATATACTTAACTAAAACTATCAATTTTTGGGTACCTTCAATTGAAGTTACTCTGCTTTATTTGTTTATCAGTCGTGTAATCTTTTATTTTCCTTTTTGAATTGTGTTTTCGCTGATTATCTTTAGCCAAATCTCGATTTTGAGATTAAGATTTAGGATTCATTATAATTGACTGTCTGTCTCTGTATTACGTTGATAATAATTCAATCGGCCATAGGTATAGAACTCTGTTTCAGTACATGCAGTGATCTATGTTTGAACCAGTTGAAACCCTAATGTGATAGCTTATATTTTATGTTACCAGATGTCAAACGAGCAAGGTTCCATATATTTGGTTGTATACATGCCCAGAAAAGTTAAAAATTAAAGAGTGAATCCGTGCTCTTATTATTTTATGTTGTGTTGATAATGGACCTTTTTGTGCTGTTACAGGGAAAACAACATTTGTGAAGAGGCATCTCACTGGTGAATTTGAGAAGAAATATGAACGTAAGCCTGCTTGATAAGTTTTGCTTCAATGCTAATTTTTCTAGGTATTTTTTCGTTAATTAATTAATAATTGTGATATGGGTATAGCAACAATTGGTGTGGAAGTTCATCCGTTGGATTTCTTCACAAACTGTGGGAAGATCAGGTTTTATTGCTGGGATACAGCTGGTCAGGAGAAGTTTGGTGGCCTTAGGGATGGATACTAGTAAGTATCATTTTCCTATTATGCAATTGAACTGTTAGCTTCATTCAATTTTCATTTAGTTTGCATGCTCGGTAAATTTATCAAAGAATGAACTTTGAAAAAGTTATAAGTTTCTTCCTCTTGGACAGTGTTTTCACATTTTGTACTGGACTTCATCAAATCTAGTTTTTGTTTGGATTGGCAGGTTTTATTGCATGTTAGTCTGTTAATTATGAAATGCGTTCGTGTTATCTGCGAGTTCATTGCTGCAATTTTTAGCTGCTTCCATATTGTGTGTAGGAGCAAGTCCCCATTTCGGTAATTAATTGAAAAAGAGAACATACCCCTACTTGTTTTAGAGTTGCTCCAGTCATCGATCAGTTGAAGATGCATCTTGAGAATT